GAACAGACGAAAACTCCATATTTAAGCAATTACATGCAACTCAGAAATGCCAATTTCCATCACAATTAGCCTAAGTTATGCAACATATTTTTGTTCCTTTTTAGTATACAGTTGATGTGTGTTTTTATAATTTGCTTAACTGCCTATAGTGAAATTTTAAAATCACACAGACCATATAAACCATAAAAGAAAGGGTACCTTTTTATTTTTCCCAATGTACCATGTTTCTACATTGCTTATAGAGCTTCTACAAGAAACACTGTTCGTTTCTATATAAAGATTTCCATAAAATTTTTATAGTTTCTATAAATGCATAAAGATTGTTGGTTTCATTATAACCTCTGTTTCAGTGCCAATGGAAAGAAAAATTACCTGCAACTCTAAACAGCGATCCACATACAGGGGTAGATAAGTGTGCTCCAACCTCTATTTAAAGAGCTCTAAGACACTCACTATATTTCATCAAAATATAGATGAGCACACTGGAGAAGCAACTTCTAGCACATTGAACTCTATTTGCCACTCTTAGAACGAATAGGCTATAAAATGTGCAACTGTGAGAACAAATTATTAACTCTACATGTTTTAGTGTGAGAAGTAATCATATTATAACTAATACATTTTTAAATGGTATGCATAATGCCTATTATACTTGACACATTACAAGGCTATTTATGGAAATCTTTCTGATAGGTTACTATAGCTTTATTCCAAATTATCCCATATACATGGTGTAGTTACTAAAGGCTGATTTTTTTTTATGTGAAAAAAATTGTATAACGTTTTAAAGCCAAAGATGGGATTTTGATGACAGTGGTGACCATAATTTGCTAACATGTTAATTTAACTATCCTTTCCCACTTAATTCAATTAGTATTCATTAAAACTGCACTAATCACAATGAGTAAAGTTTTACCAATTATTTCTGTAATTATGAATGAATACAGTAAACATAACAAAATAATTATAAATCCACTTAATTAACTAAAAGGCTATTTCCAGCTGGGAAAGATATTCATGTTTTGTTTTGTATTTTTGTATTTTTAATGCTAACTATATTGACATGTTGATATCTTTGAGAAGCCATTTCTAGAAATGAAAGAAATATGTTAGTATTGTGATTCTGTTCTTCTTTAGCAGGCTGCATTAAGAGCCTCATTATCTAGTTATAATAAGAAATTAAAGAAAATCTGGTTTAAACTACCCAAACCAAAGTAACTCGAAAATTGCACCTGTACTTTAGTAATCTTAACCCTAAAAAACAAAAATTTTTAATTACTTCATATTATGCTTATGAGAGATAAAATTGTTTTAATTTCCTAAGTACTAAGTTGTTAGAATGTTTTTAAAGGCAGGATCCTTTTCAAGTCAGGATCCTACCAATGCTGGTGTTTTAGTACTTAAACTGGCTAAGCATTAAACAAAAGTAGATGAATAGATAATGTGAACTCTGAAAAGCCCTTGCTTTCTCTTTTGCTGTTTGTTTTTCTTTTTAAAGAAATAAAGGCATTGCACATCATTCTGGAATTAACAAAGCCTGTACTTTCAGGTTTAAAGATAGCAGGCTTACCAGATTTTAAATGAAATATTGAGTGCTACAGTGATTTAATGGTTTTAAACCATAGATGTCACTGTGGTCTGAGGGTGTCACAGACAACTTAAGGAAGAAAAAAAAAAATGGGGCACAGAGAAATCACTTTGTCAGTAATTACAATCAAGAGTCCTAAAATGTGGCTCAGGCTGCTCATTACTTCTTCCTTCTGTATCAAGACCCTTATTTACATTTCAGATTACATTTTTTATGAAACAGTAAGATCTATCAGAGCTGAGAGGGCTGAAATAATGAGGGGAAAACATTTTAATAAAACGTGTTGGGTCTGCATTACTTCCGTGTCAGAAAGAAAGGCTACTTCTGTAGTGATGGATCATTTATTCTGCTTCTAAACGAGAAGCAAAAAGATGAAACTGATGAACTTTTACTGCCCATTTGTCTTTAGCAGACAATTAAGACAGAGAAGATCAAAATGGATTATCATACGACGCAGACAACTGGCCCAACAGTAATACATCTCCGGGACCACAGATTTGTAACTCTCTTTTATCCCTCCCCTTTCTTCTTACTTCTTTTTCCACTCTAAAGGCAGTGCTAGCTTTGTGGCTCAAGGAGAGCCAAAAGGCTGGTCATCATTATTCAGTCACAGATGTCAATCTAACCTCCCTTTTTTCTCAGTTTCTAAAGCAGTGAGCCACAATAATTTGTGACAGATTCTTTTACTGTAAGGTACAAAGAACACACAGAATAAAACATCTAGCAGCAGCAAGCGTCTCTGATCAAGTGTGCTGGTACATGGGAAATACACAAATGTAAAAACAAGCACTGGTAGTTTAAGCGAATGAGGAAGAAAGCTGGGGCGCGGGGAGAATTTGTGTGTGTGCATGTGTAGTAATAAGCACTATAGTTTGGGGTAAATTATCGCAAATATTCCTTATGGATTACATCATAAATGTTTAATACCAGAAATGTTGTCTAGGTTAAGTACATATTCGGCATTTAAGGTTTATATGTAATAAAAATATTTCTAAGAATTCCTTTATAATAGTACACCGAAGGTAAAAAATTTGATTTAATCCAACAAATGCTAAGAAGAGAAAACATGTAAGATCAGAACCCAAATGATAAAAACGGTAAATAAGAACTATGCAGGTCTCATTTCTGCTACCAGTAAATCAACTCTCAAATAAACTTCTGGGATTTGTAGGTAACTTCATGAAAAACAAAGTAGATCTGTCATTCATCCTTCATTCTTAAGTTATTTGTGGGAATGAAAGGAAGCCTTGTGTTGCGTCCAACTTGGAGGGATGCTGAGTAAGGCAGTGATGTATGTAAGTCTACAACCAGCCCATGAGCACCGTCCTCCAAATTTCAAAGTTGTGTCACTGATCCAAACAAGGAAAACAAATACCTATCCAATGAGCACTTTAAAATTGCTGAAACCTGTAATTAGTTTTTAGGCTCTTACTGTAATTTTAAATACTTCCAACTTCAATATAAGAAACGCTTGTAAGGTCATCCATTAACCAAAGTAAAGAGAACTAAGTTCATAGCATAACCTTATCTAATCTGTAAGCTGGGCTCCATATGCAATGACAGAATTAATAATAGTCCACATTTCTCTATATATACACAAATACACTATATATACATATGTATGTATAATACCTACATATATACACATGTACTCTCCTCAAACACACAAACATATACATACACTTAGAGAAATAAACATGGGAAAATAAACACCAAATTGTCATAATGGTCATTTCATCTGAGTAGTAAAATTACAGGTGGCTTGTATTTTCTTTATTTTCATTCTTTTTATTTATTTTTGATTTATCTATATTTCCTACAAATTTTTGTCATGAACATATTATTCATGTGATTTTTTAAAGTTACACCCAAAAAGATCACGTTGCTCAAAAATTTACAGATATAGTAAGAAACTATGTTTAAAGGAATAGATCCCTGTTATTTTAAGTTTTCTCCTACGAAATTTTCTCTCACTGGGTAATTGGAATCATGGCACCACAAAGGTAAACTTAGACACAAAATTTTAGAATGCTGATTTTCTTAAGAGCTAAGGCCTCAAGTCTATTCAAAATAATATTTTAAGATTTTCCACCCTTTAGACATTGTTTAAGGGGGGGAAATCATTAATATAAAGGTTCTATAATCTTTGGATTGTGTAGTTTAAATCCAATGGGCTCACTCCCATGGCAAGTTAAGGCATAGTGAAATTTCAACTCTCCAGTTGGAAGACGAAACAAGAGGTAGAGTGAGAAGATTAGTCTTTTTTAAAATCTCATTTAAAAGTCTTGTGATCACACATAAAGCAAACCATACCAGCTCTCCTGAGTTCTTGGACAATAAAATCTCATTACAAAGCATCTTATTATGCTGATTATCCAGTTATATTCCTGGTCACAATATGTCACCTGTGTTCATAAAGATGTATCGGATGCCTTGCCCGCTACACAACAGGCCACACTGCAAAGGTGTTACTACTGCTGCACTGGGTATTTGTGTTCCATTGTATTTATCCTCATTCAAGGACATTTTTTTAACAGACAAAATTAAGCGGATGTACTTCTGAAACATTTTTATTATGTACAATATTCTGCATGTGAAAGGTTTTATGAACTTGTTTTACTCAATGTAAACAAGGATGCTTTTATTTTCAAACTGCTCTAAAAAGCATACCAAATTGCATATTTGAACTAAAAACGTAAGGTTCCCCAAAAAGCTTCAAAACATCTCTAATGTTTCTTTAGAAACTAGAATCCAGGATGTATAACCTGGGTCTAATTATCAAGAGTAGAGCAGCACCAGAACTTCAACAGTAGTTTGTGGTTAAAATACTTCCTTCCGCTCCATTCCTTACTTGCAGAATACAGGAAATTCAAGATGGCAGCACTCACTGGCCAATCTTACCTTTCCCTACCATCGTTACAGCTACCCTCACCCTGAAGACCCTTCCTACATGTGTATCATCTCCTTTGAAGGCTACCATAACACATAGTTTCCTAATCTATTTCAAATTTCAGGAACTGTTATAAACTTCTCTCCTCCCCCGTTTTGTTACACTGGTTCTTGACACTTAAATAGCATTAAAAGAAAAAGAAGTTCACAGGCAATCCAAAAAAGGATTTCCTAATGAACTGCAGACTGTAGCATACCTCAAAGCAAAAAGTAAAATTTGTGATAGATTTTCTTCCTTACTTTCTGTGCATTTTTTCCCCTGAAGGTAACACCCCAAATCTAGTACCAATATTTTCAGTCCTACTTCAATATGTTTTACTTTTTGTCTTGGGTTCCTAATTACTGTTTCTCTTCCCTTCTAAAAATTCATTTATCTCTTTCAGTGAAAAAAGAACAGTAATAATATGTTGAACAACTCTGAAATAAATTTTGTCATGTAAAAAATTAATTACGCATTCCGAACCTGGTCACCGTAGTCCTCCGGGAATTGCCTCTGCACCTCAGGATCTGTAAATAATTGACAGATAATATTAATTGGCTTTGGATTAGTGAGCAAGCAGAGGATCACACATTAATATTTGATCAGAAGATGATAGCAGCCCTGGCAGGGGATCCAAGGGGGGCAGCTGAGGCTGCTATGTTGATGAGCACAAGGAAGGACTCAGCAAGGCACTCCCATTACCCTCCTCCAGAAACACAAAAAAAGAAAAATTTTAAAGACCTGATGCTACTGTTAACTTTAGACTATTACCTAATGCAAAAACCTTGCCAGCTGCAAATTGCCCTCAATATATTTTTCCAGGGAAAATGAGTCTTAAACCTGCCTGACTTTTCTTGTCTAATCAGAAGACGCCTCCTTTTCACAGTCACAGATGTGGGCTTGATAAACCGTCTTAAACACCAGTTTCAGGTGGGGGGGAGGGGGGCCTGCTGGTGAGGGTGAGAGAATTCTTTGAAGGAACAAACGCAAAACTCCTTGCTTTTAAAAATAAAATATGTCCTTCCCAAAGTATTTATGAGCTCTTGAAAATACAGATAAAACTAGGTAACATCTTCTTCATAACAGAACCAAACTATACGCTTTTAGCTTATCAGTGAAAATGACATATCATGATGTGAGATATGGTCTAACATAATTAGACTAGCTAAGAAACTAAAAAAAATACATAGGTGAAAAATACCTTTCATGACCATCATTTAAAATGGAATTGCTAAAGGGGTCACTTGATTCTTCAATCATAATTGCAAGATAATCCAATGTATTGTCTGTAAGTCAATACAGAAGTGTACTAATTAAAAGCTATTACATTCCATTTGTTATCGATTAGGAAAACATTCAATCTTTTCTAATAAGAGAAAGATCTGATTCCTCCGAGACACATTAAGTAAGGAGAGTGATCAGAATAATATCTATTTGAAAAATTTTGTATCAATGCAAAAGGCTTATGGAAAAGAGCAATATTTGAGGGTCCCTTCTCACAGAGATCACAGTATATACTACTCACTTCATACCTATCCTTTAAAACACTGATTTACTCCTCTGTGAAAGTAAATCCATGTAAAAGTTAAAACTCTTCAAATCACAAAACAAAAATACAGTTAATGGTGCTGCAGGGAAGAATCGAAAAGAGAGAAAACTAAGGGCCTAGTCACATAGCTCCATTTAAATCCTAGAAATACCAGATTTCATGTCACTAAAGTCGATGGATGTTATTTTCAAAACCCAAGACTAATAACAAACAGGCATATTCAAAAGGTCCCACCAAAAGCAGGGCTCCCCAAAATGGGAGGTGCAAAACAGCTGAAAGGCTCCGTAGACCATTTCAGCTCTTGAGGTATCTTCTGGTTGACTTAAAAACTGGGGATCAGTTTCTTGTGTTTAACATCTTCAAATACGAGAAGAGACAAAGGCCGTGTCTAGACCGTGACTAGCAGAATGCTGGCATAATCCCCGACGCAGTGCTGTGCGGGGCTGCCCTGACGGGCCAGCACGGGCCCTGTCACTTGTCTCTGGCCAGAGGGCTGAGTCAGCAAGGATTTGGCCTCTTGAGACAGGAGGCCAGAGGGCACTCACGGTGTGGCATGGAAAGCACTAGGTTGGTCTACAGGGAAAAATTAGCCAGCAGGATGCAAAGGGACAGATGCCCAACAAACCTCTTAATGTGTGCTGTGGGGTGGGGTTGGGGTGAGCCTAAAAAGAGGGCAGTGCTATAATTCCTAAAACATACATAATGAATTGGTCTAGGGGAAAAAATGGTATTTTAGGATTTAAAATTTGGTTCTAAGACCCCAAAAAAAAGGGACCTCTAAGTCACTGAGGTATGCACAGTAAAAAGGAGGTTGGGAAAGCCACAAGATAATCTAAGGCTTATTCTTTTTCTTCCACTTGTCATGTGGTTAACACTTACTCTTCAACCAGAAAACTTCAGACAGAAACGACTCACACATAAATCTTTAATGTCATGTCCTCGTTCTTACAGTATTTGTTCTTCTTGGGAACCACAAAATACCAATGGAAATAAAGACAGAATAAAACCAAAGACTTCATTTTTTATCTCCATTTTTGAGGGGATGAACGTCAGAAACCAAAATTTGTGGTACGTTCTTCAATTTTAAAATAATAAGTTTCCTGATATAGGTGAGAGAAGGAAAGTTTTAAAATCTCTTTAATTATTGTAGATTAATAAGAAACTAAATCATTAACTTGTCACTTTAAAATGTATTTTATTCACATATACAACATAACAGAATTGAAAAAAGAGAAGGAAACATGGATAAAAGGAAAAATCAACCTATTTTAATATAATAAAGGTAGGTATGACCATGGAATGCCAAGATAGGGGGTCATTCAAACCATATTATTCTAAACGCTGCCTCAATGGCAGGCAGCATAACAAACACCACCAACTAATTCCTTCAACTGTCCTAAGACTAACCTGAGAGTGAGGTTCCCAGACCGTAACAGAATCATGTTCCAAGATAATACATAAATTACTATTTATTATGATTCAAGCATAAAACTTTTGATTTCCTTTAGGCCCTGAGGTTTACAAACGCAAACTTCATGGGTCCTTAAAACTCTTCTAAAGCAATATTTAAAGAGAAAAAAAAAAAAAAAGGCAATGCTTTTTAAAACCAAAGCCCAACCTATAAAGCTCCATTCAATTAGCTCAGAGATCCAGTCTGATAGTTAATAAAACTATGACAGCCATTTTGTAAAAATTAACACAAAACTGAAAATAATTTGTTTGAATTTTCTTAAAATGTCTATTTTACACACTAGGTTGAAATCTTTCTTCACATTGAGTTGATCATTATGCCATAATGTCATCATAATATCGACATTGGAAACATCTGAGTTAAAAAGGTCCAAATACAATCTGCTTTTCTCAAGCAACACAACACCCGCCTTACTAACAGTTTCAGCATGGCACATGTACAAAACCTAGCACCCTGCAGTTAAGCAAACCTCCTTTAAATTTTCTGTCTGGCAGCAATCCACTTGCGTGTCTGTATGTTTTTTACAAGTACTCTATGTATTTCATTGCATCAGCTGCATTTCTTTGAGTTTTAAATGGTCTGGGAACATTTTATGAAATGTTCTATATCTTTATATGGAAAATAACATACACGAGGAAACTGTGCATCGGTCTAATATTTATATATCTATTTCTTTATCCACCCTCCAATGCTATAATTGCTAACCTGCTCCATTCATACCCTCACCACCAAATGCAGTGTCACCAAATAGCTAACTTTAAACACAAAAATCTGCACAAGACAGAACTACCATGGAAAAAGTAACAATTCGCTTAGGCAGTAACAGAGTTATCGGCATTTGTCAAGCTTTTTCTCTAAGAATTGCCCCTCTCACAGAAAATAAAGAACATAAGATGGTACACAGCACACCCTTCCTTCCTTATTCTTCTCTCTCAGCAACTTTCTGCAGATTTAAGTAACATATTACAAAATTAAAAATCAATTTTATCACCTCCTAGGAAAATAATTTTCAACAACGACAAAAAACCGTATTTAAAATATCTTGCCAACATGATGTATGGTATGGTAGAGTCGATACATCTCTTAGCCACATAAGCCAAAAAGAGGCAGCTGGCTCTGGAATAAATCTTCACACATTATGTCAACGTGATGGGCCACCACTTCCTCTCCTCCCAGGACCATGGCCACACAAGAGGCTGTCCCCACACAGAACAAGTACACCACCTCCACTGGAGGCCACAAAAGCGTTTCCATATTTAAAACAGACATTTCACAATGCACAATCTCATTCAGGCACAGAACATGGCCATGCTTCAAAGGCTACGTCCTCACAGCAAAAAAAAACTTGACCTCAGAAAAAATGTCTTTTTTTTTTAAGAAAGGCTAATTTTCTTCGATCTCAACAGTCCATGTTTTCTAGTCTTCTACTATAACTTACTTTTAAATCTTTAAGATATACCAGATTGCCACAGGATGTTTAATTAATAGAATAAGAGTTTGGGCAAGACTTACTAGAAAGGTGCTATAAATTATTTTACACAGGCTCCAAAACCTTGAGTTCTGCCTTAGGCTTAAAGTTCCTAGAAAACGTAGTAGACAGATCTTTTACAACAGAAATGCAAAATAATTCATAAAAGTACTGTGCTTATGTATGAGGGCTCATTTGTAGAGCAGTAACTAGTGTGTGTACACACACACACACACACACACACACACACACACACACATCCTCACCAAATTATTTTCTTGTTTTTCTGTGTCACACCAATGACTCCGTTTGAAGGGTCTAGGCATGACACTTTAACAGATTATTGAAAAATATACTTATCTTCGCTTTCTGTGAAAGGCATAACAATTGCATACTAACCAAATGTTACAATCTTCTATAACTGGAGCTTTTTAAGGAAGAAATTTAAAGAAACTGCAAATGTGGCCGTTAACACAGGAATCTATACTGCTTTCACTTTAAACATGGTAGGGATCCGGGCAGAAAACATTACAGTTAATGCCTACTAAATTCATCCAGTCATTATCTCTAGGCTATTTCAGTCAATAAGACGCAAAATATTGAATACATTTAAAGCTTACAATTATAAAAATCTGCCTTTTAACAGCGAGACTTTGAAATTAGCCATAAACCATATAATCTCATTTTTCAATTTCATGGAGTTTAGGATACCATCTTCCTCTCCCCCACAACCATAAATGTTAATCCAAGCTGTAACCAGATTTAATTTTCCAGATGAGAAGATGGGAATATGCTGCACACGAGTAACAGTCCATTACACTGATCTTTCCCTGATGACATTTTCAAATTTTATACACTAAAAATAGAGACTTTCAGAAAATCGTCTGAGAAGTTAGACGTTTTGAGGACAAGCTCAATCTTCTCCTAAACATACTCAGAAAGAAACTTCCTTTTAATCTTCAAGAGGAAAAGTTAATTGTTTTCGTATAATATAGAATTCAAGTTTCTTGATAGTATAATTGTGACCGGACTACACTAA